GATTAGTCGACTAATCAAATAAATAATCGGTGATTAATAGATTATAAAAATAATTGTTTGTGGCAGCCCTAATTTCCAGTGTTTTTTATTCACTGAGGATATGGTATTTCTTTATTACACTTTACAGCTGAGTGTAGACAAGCTGGTTTGATTCCTTTCTCACTTGCAGCTAGTTTTGGTCTGAGATGTGTGGGTGCACATTGGTGATGCTTCATCATGGCCCTGAGTGGGAGAAGAAAGTGTCATATATTTAGCCATGTAGGCTAGTGTTTTGGGGCAGATTCATTCTTCTAAACTGAGAGATTATCAGAGCACAGCAACAAATAATCACAAGTGTAAGTGATGTTTGTATGTTTCAGGTCGAGCAGTCCAAAGTATTGATAAAGGAAGGGGGTGTCCAGCTGACTCTCACCATCGTGGACACACCAGGCTTTGGAGATGCAGTGGACAACAGTAACTGGTGAGGATTTCAAACACGTGTACCATGCCTGTTCTTCGTTTCTGTCATCTCCCCTGATGTCTTTTCTCCATTTTCTCAGTTGGCAGCCTGTTATAAATTACATCGACAGTAAGTGTGAGGACTTCCTGAATGCAGAGTCGAGGGTGAACCGGAGATCCATGCCAGACAATAGAGTTCACTGCTGCTTATATTTCATCGCACCCTCCGGACACGGGTATGTTCAGCATGGAATGCACGAGAAAGTAATTTAACATGAGTTTAAATTGTATATATTTAAATATGGCACATTTCTGTCTGCCATTATGTCGCTGTATAACCGAACAGAAGGTTGGAGTGAATGTTTGCATCTCTGTCAAAAACAATGAGACAGCCAGTGCTTGACTCACTACGGTTACATAAGCAGGTTCTGCTCATGCTCAGTAGAGATCTGTTCTCCATCCCTGAAGCAGCCAATCAAAAACTGCATCAGGAGAATCTTGGATGCTCACATTGAGGAAGAACTCCTTCTTTTATCTTACAGCGTCTAAGTGTGCGTGGCTGTGGATCTGTATAATTCCAAATCCATTTATCWCCCTCAATTTTTTTATTAAGCTCTGTAAGTCATTGCTATTACTGTAACTGTTTTAGACACATATTCAGAATTACTGACAAGACAATGTATAACCAATTTATTCTATAATTTCTGTAATTGACTTTTACTGTCACTACACAGGAATTTACCTAAATGCAGTTTCAAAGACTTGTCTTTTTTAAATCTGGTGCAACAAGCTGCTCAAAGGCAGTTTAAGTCTTTTTGCAGAAGTCACTAACATGTGACTGTAAAAGTTGAAAACCTATAATAAATTCAGCCTTAGAAGTAACTTACACGCTCATGTTTCCAGACTTAACTGGGATGGTTAATTCTCAAGAATTTCAGAGAAGGTTCCAGCAGCAATCCCAGTTTTCTCTGGTTGAACTCCTGTTTTATTGATGGTTTCTTAAATCACTGCTTGCTTGTAAAAGAAAATTTATGAGTTTAAAATAACAAAAATTCTTGAACAGTCAGTCTCTTTTCTCATCCCCATGTCTCCTCCAGCTCTGAGCACAGACAGGCTGACTTTTGTTTCATCTGGAGCTGCTTTCCCTGCATCGCTTCTAAAGCAGCAGTACACACAAACTGTGTCTCTGTCTCGTGTGACCGCTGCACAAATCTTCTAGCAGTTGTTCCATGGCCCTTTATGTCTTTATTATGCATTTAACCCACGTTCAGTCATACACAACATGTATGGTTTACATGCACATACAAAAAAATAACTGTGGTAAGGCTCAACTGTTCTTTGTAGAGTTTTTTTTTTACACCATTGTTTTTACATACTTGCCTTCCTACATACAGCCCTCTGAGTTCACTGTGTCAGGCAATGCAGCAGAACAGAAGACCCATTTGACATTCAATAGTAAATACTGCAGTAGACAAACAATTATGTTCAGTTTACTTCTTCATGTCTTTGTAGTGAATAAATGAATGGTTCTATGTGTCCCTCTGCTGGTGACCCACTGAACTGAATTCTCCTTGCACAGTGCACAGAGAAATTAATTTATTCTTACTATGAGTCACCCTGCCTGACACGGCTGCTTCTTTATATTTATTTACATCCCAGTAAAGTTCACAGATGTACATGGCAGCACAAGCAGTGCCAGCAGGTTTGCTTTTATGTGACCCCGAATATTTTGACACACAAGATGCAGAAAAGTCCACACACACACTAGTTTCTTTTTATATCCCTGTGGGGACTGTGCATTGATTTCCATTCATTTTCCAGTCATTTCTACAGCCTAACCCTGACCATTTTACCCTAATAGGAATGTGCGATATGGCAAAAAATTCATATCACGATATACATTATGATGAGTGGCGGTAACGATATATATCACGATATAAAACTTATAATAGAAAATAAATAAATCACACATTAATTGAGTGGAATACATATGTATAGGTAAAAAAAATTTAGACCTTAAAATCTCCTTTTTTAAGGGACACTTTAAAGTCTCCCATAAAAATCTAAATTTAAGGGAGMTCTACCTGGTTAAATCACATATAT